GCTGAAAGGCTGGCTGCTGCTTCCGATATAACGGACAAAATCTGCATCCTTGGCCTTCCAACAACCTTTACACCAGCAGATGGTGGGCGTAAAGATGTCATTCATCATTTATTTACAATGGGCTTTATTTATTCTAGTGTCAACAGCTGCCTCAGGGAGCAGGTTATTGAATTCAAATGTGCAGCTCTGGGTTATTTGCTTCCTTTCAGATCTGTCTTCTGTGCTCAGTTGCTAGGAGTCCTTTCTGTGTTCTAATAATGATTCATGTATTGTGAAGCCATTCAGTAAATTGGGATGTCAGGGATTGCCAAGGAAGGTTTTTAGAGGGTTGCATGTTCCTAGAAAAAAAAAAAACCCCACAGCACTCTATATCTAGCTACCTGTTTTTAAGATTAGATTGTTTGCATACAAAAATGTATACAGAATGTTATATCTTGATATATAATGCCGTATGCTTTGGGAACCTTTAATGTCATAAATGAAAAAGACAGGCTGTTATAGGATGTCACTGTGTGAAACTTAATGCTTCACATTTGTATGAAGTAGAAAATACAAGATTGACCTGTGACTGATCCACATTAAAGGATAAGTCACCTTTGAGAACTTGTTACGTGTTCCACCCATTTTTAGGATGAATGTGTAGCTTGTTCTCGCTCCTGCAGCTTATCCCCACACTCCTTGTGACAGCAGGTCAGGGATGTTCTCCCTTTACCTGCTGTCACTATTTGAAGAGATTGTGACTGTGTGGGGCTCCGCCCATATGGCCACATCATTCATACAATTCTGTGAATGGGAGAACTACAAGTACCAACGTCCTTTCCGGCTGTTGGCCTTTTGTTCTCAATTAACTAACGGTGTTTTGAGCACTCTAGGTAGTTCATTGTTTGTTCCTGTCCTTCTGTAACTGCCTTTACACTGACAGTCTGCAGGAGTCCTGCATTGCACCTCCGATATACTGATTGTGGATGCAATGTTTTGTAGTCTCCTAGTGTAAAGAATTTTAAATGCACATTTATTTAACTTGCAAAAAGATGTCCATTTATTTTTACAAAGGTGAACTTATCCTTTTAATTTTAAAACAGACATGGTCTTGCTTTTTTTTTTTTCTCCCTTATGCTTAAAGCATATGTAAACCATAATATTGAAATCCTCGTATTTGCTACCTTTTTGTCTGTTAAATATGATTGAAAGAACTTTTTATGGCCCCTTTCACATGGGCGTTTCGTAAAAAAAATTAACGGACAAAAAAAGGATGTAAACGGATAAAAACATGTAAAAAAAAAAAACAAACACTGATGTAAACGGATGTAAATGAATGAAAAACTGAAGGGAACTGATGAAAAACTGATCTGAACTGATCCGTTTCTCTTGGAAAAAATGTGAATGAACTGATGGAAAAAAAAGTGCAAGTACCTGTTTGTTATGTCAGCAGTTCAGAGCTGTCCTGTCGGTATTCTCTCAAGAAGTCTTGCTCTCAGTTGTCATCTTGAACCACAGAACAATTAGTCTCTGTGCTGTGGAGCATAGGAAGGGGGGATGGGTTTGAATAGACTGGCCAAAGACGTACTGACATATCCTAAATAAAACTGTGCCAAAATCAAATGGCAAAAAATATGTGCAAAACTAATCCTACAAGGTGCATGAAACTATAAATGCCCACCATAAATAATACATAAACATATAAAGGCCTGAAACTAAACTATGCAATATGTATTGTGAAAACAATGTGCACAATAATCAAGCAAACCTAAATGATGCATTCAACATAATAGGACTAAAACATCCTAAATAAAAGGGCACAAAAAAGCGCAGTGTAAAGAAAACTGTGACAATCAAAAAGAAAAAAAATATATGTGCAAAACTAATCATACAAGGTGCATGAAACTAAAAATGCACCTTTATAATCATGATTGATGCCAGTGAAAAACGCACAGTGGAAATAAACGTGCGTCAATAAGCACAAAAAAATACGTGACATATAACAAATGAGTGACCATCAAAATAAACATAAGTGATCATCAAATCGGCATAAAGTCCGTGTAAATAGACCGCCAACTCCAAACGAACAAAGCAACTGGGTGAAATGAATGATAAAACCGGCTAAAATGCCTCCTCATCTCCACGCCAAGACCCCAAGGGGCTACACACCTTTCAGGCCTCACACTCCCAGAGCCCTTAATAGATATCCAAGATGATAGAATCCCACTGATCACAGGAATATGGCCTTCCTCACTGTATAACTATAATGATTTCAGTAGTGTTGAAACTGGTAATCCTTTTCACAGGAACATCAGCCAGCTCAGACACACACCCCAGAGGAAAAAGAGAGAGCACTCCCATTGTGTAGTAATTTTCAAGCAAAAACTTTAATGGAGGAATGCCAAATGAACACTTACATCACATCAGTTGATATCAGGCTTCAAACACATGTATTGATATGGGTTTATACTTCCAGGGTGTACCAAAATGGCGGCAACCATCACCACGCTTCACTTACAGACCCACGCATTTTGGGACAGTGATGTAACGCGTGGGTCTGTTAGCTGAGTGTCGTGATGGCCGCCGCCATTCTGGTACACCCGGGAAGTATAAACTCCTATCAATGCATGTGTTTAAGGCCTGATTTCAACTGATGTGATGTAAGTGTTCATTTTGGCATTTCTCTCTGGAGGAGCTGCAGAGATCCACAGCTCAGGTGGGAGAAAATGTCCACAGGACAACTATTAGTCGTGCACTCCACAAATCTGGCATTTTATGGAAGAGTGGCAAGAAAAAAAAAGCTATTGTTAAGAAGTCCTGTTTGCAGTTTCTGAGAAGCCATGGGACACAACAAACATGGAAGAAGGAGCTTTGGTCAGATGAGACCAAAATTTAACTTTTTGGCCTAAAAGCAAAACACCGTGTGGCAGAAAACTAACATTGCACATCGCTCTGAACACACAATCCCAACCGTGGAACATGGTGGTGGTAGCATCATGTTGTGGTGATGCTTTTCTTCAGCAAGGACAGGGAAGCTTGTCAGAGTTGACGGGAACATGGATGGAGCCAAATATAGGGCAATCTTGGAAGAAAACCTGTTAGTCTGCAAAAGACTTGAGACTGGGGCGGAGGTTCACCTTCCAGCAGGACAATGACCCTAAACATACAGCCAGAGCTACAATGGAATGGTTTAGATCAAAGCATATTCATGTGTTAGAATGTCACAGTCCAGACCTAAATCCAATTGAGAATATTTGGTAAGGCTTGAAAATTGCTGTTCACAGACGCTCTCCATCCAATCTGACAGAGCTTGAGCTATTTTGTGATCAATGGGCACACATTTTTCTCTCTAGATGTGCAAAGCTGGTGGAGACATACCTAAAAAAGGCTTGCAGCTGTAATTGCAGCGAAAAGGTGGCTCTACAATGCATTGACTCAAGGGGGCTGAATACAAATGAACGGCACACTTTTCACAGATATATTTGTTAAAAATGTTTGAAAAACATTTTATAATTTTTCCTTCTACTTCACAATTATGTGCTACTTTTGTGTTGGTCTATCACATAAAATCCCAATAAAATACCTTTACATTTTTGGCTGTACATGACAAAATGTGGAAGATTTCAAGGGGTATGAATACTTTTTCAAGGCACTGTATTTACATTAGTTGAATGGATTTTGGATATTGTCCAACCCTTAATGTTAAATGTCTAATTTCTAATGTTCAGCCAAAACCTTTTTCTTTCTTGTCTGTTGAGGAGCAATAAGGAGTGTAGTAATTCATAGATATTTGGGTTATAGGATATTAGGATACTGTCGAATAAGCGTTTTAGCCAGTCCTATAAAACAACACCTTCAGTCATTATGCCTCAGTTTTTTGTTATGGTCCTAAGAGGTTGGTCGCTTTTCCTCTTGCTGTTATTTTTTCATCAGTGCATAATGTAAATTTCTGATTCAACTTTCACATTCCCATGCCCCTGTGGCATTCTGCTCTCCATTAGCTTCAGAGGAAAGCAGGTGAAGACAACAGGGTTCTGATATCTCATTGAAGAGAACCCTTCATAGCAAAACTCTTATCACATAGGAGACAAAAAGTAACAAAGTTAAGCAAAAGTGTTAAACTTCAAAGTTAATGCAGTATTAAGCAAAAATCAAACATTTTATTATAATACAGTTTAGCAATTCATACATGTGATAACTGCATTCATTTTATTTTTTGTCGGCTTGCTTGGTTTTATTTTCATCTGGTGATCCAGCCAGCAAGTCTGCTGTTTTTCAAAAGCTCAAAGTCACCAGCAGAGTGTATCACTTTATATGGATGAGACAAACCATTTGACAATTGCAGGTTATAATGATCAGTTTTTATTTATACATTGGCTCCTACTGCTGTCAATCACATCCGGTGTGCCAATGAGGGTACAGCAGCGGGGCTGAGCCGCACTCTGTGTGTCCATTCCGAGCGTGGCTCAGGAGCGAGGCTTGCTATTGGGGGCACTCAGTGGGAGGAGGGGCCAGCACCCAAAAAGAGGGGTGGAAGACCTAAAAAGAAGAGGATTGGGGCTGCTCTGTGCAAAGCCATTTGCACAGAGCAGGTGTAAGTAGTGTGTGTGTTTTTTGTGTTTTTATTACAACCTTTAGAACCACTTTAGGTTAAACAAAATAAAAAAAAACTGTTATGTGCAGGCCCCCTAAATACTTTCCTGAGCCTGATCTCGATCCAACGCTGTCTCCAAGAGCAAAAAAATAAACTTTACAATTACTTCAAATTTACACAAAGAAAGTCTTCCATGGCCAAGCGAATCCTGGCCACCCCCTGAGTGCTGAGACCTGGTCAATGTTGGGCTGAAAGGTAGTCATGTATCTAGAAACAGGGCTTAGCCTCAGGAAAGTTATTTTGGAACAAAAACAACAATTATACATTAAAATAAAATCTGAAGGATGTATGGCAGTCATATATTATTGAAAGTAATCTTTATTATTGGTGTGCATTTTGTTAATCCTTTTTTTTTGTTTTTTTTTAGGCAGGTCAGGAATCCTTTCGTTCAATCACACGTTCATATTACAGAGGAGCAGCTGGTGCATTATTAGTTTATGATATCACAAGGTGAGTTTTTGGGGATTTTTCTCTGAGTTCCTTAAAAATAACAATTTACCTGCCTGATCAAAACATCCTGCCTTGCCCACTTTGAATTTCTAATTGAAGTACCCACCAGTATGGTTATTACCTTCAGTTCTGTAGAAATGTGCATTACTCCAAAATAAACTTCTCAAAGCTAGATGGTAGCATCATTGCTCAGTGGCAGGCTTGACTATACTAGATAGCAGTCTTCTTTCAAATTCTCATTAACTCTACTACTGCTGGCCTTTGCTATTTTAAGTGAAGATTTGGGCTGTTAAAATTTTTATGTGATTCAGAGCTACTTAGAGTAGTTCAGCCATGTACAAGGAATAACTTTTCAGGCCCATTCACACTATATCTATTGAGACCCAATGCAAAGGCAAACTGAAATCTGTTTTTTGTAGCCTGATTTATCACCAATGTGCTGGGTGAAAATAGAACAATGCTGTATGTAAATGGAAAGCTTTAAAAAATACAAAGTTCCTAATTGTTCAGTGAGGAGCACTGGATCAGAAAAAATTCTGAGACATATGTATTCTACTATTGCTTTCAAGAGAATTGAACACAAACAAAAATTATAAGCCAGCTATAACCCCTCCCATCATGCTTTAGATTTTTGCTAGTATCCTCAGTGAATAGATGTCTATCTTAATCATATACAGGTGAAAATCGAAAAATTAGAATATCGTGCAAAAGTTTATTTATTTCAGTAATGCAACTTAAAAGGTGAAACTAATATATGAGACTCATTTACATGCAAAGTAAGATAGTTCAAGCCGTGATTTGTCATAATTGTGATGATTATGGCTTACAGCTCATGAAAACCCCAAATCCACAATCTCAGAAAATTAGAATATTACATGCAATCAATAAAACAAGGAACAATATCAGACCTTTGAAATGTATAAGCATGCATATGTACTCAGTACTTGGTTTGGGCCCCTTTTGCAGCAATTACTGCCTCAATGCGGCGTGGCATGGAAGCGATCAGCCTGTGGCACTGCTGAGGTGTTATGGAAGACCAGGATGCTTCAATAGTGGTCTTCAGCTCTTCTGCATTGTTCGGTCTCATATCTCTCATCTTTCTCTTAGCAATGCCCCATAGATTCTCTATGGGGTTCAGATCAAGCGAGTTTGCTGGCCAATCAAGCACCGTAATCCCCTGTCATTGAACCAGGTTTTGGTGCTTTTGGCAGTGTGGGCAGGTGCCAAGTCCTGCTGGAAAATGAAGTCCGCATCCCCATAAAGCTCGTCTGCGGAAGGAAGCATGAAGTGCTCCAAAATCTCCTGGTAGACGGCTGTGTTGACCCTGGACTTAATGAAGCACAGTGGACCAACACCAGCAGATGACATGGCTCTCCAAATCAACACAGACTGTGGAAACTTCACACTGGACTTCAAGCATCTTGCAGTGTGTGCCTCTCCATTCTTCCTCCATACTCTGGGTCCTTGGTTTCCAAATGAGATGCAAAAGTTACTCTCATCAGAAAAGAGGACTTTGGACCACTGAGCAACAGACCAGGTCTGTTTTTCTTTGGCCCAGGTAAGACACTTCTGACGTTGCTTGTTGTGACAAGAGGAATGTGACATTTGAAGCCCATGTCCAGGATCCGTCTGTGTGTGGTGGCTCTTGATGCACTGACTCCAGCCTCAGTCCACTTCTTGTGAAAGTCCCCCACACTTTTGAATGGTCTTTTCCTGACAATCCTTGCCAGGCTGCGGTCATCCCTGCTGCTTGTGCACCTTTTTCTTCCACACTTTTCCCTTCCACATAACTTTCTATTAATATGCTTTGATACAGCACTTTGGGAACATCCAACTTCTTTTGCAATTACCCTTTGAGGCTTTCCCTCCTTATGGAGGGTGTCAATGCTGGTTTTCTGCACAACTGTCAGGTCAGCAGTCTTTCCCATGATTGTGATTCCTACTGAACCAGACTGAGAGACCATTTAAAGGCTCAGGAACCCTTTGCAGGTGTTATGGCTTAATTAACTGTTTAGAGTGGGACACTTTGAGCCTAGAATATTGCACCTTTTCACAATATTCTAATTTTCTGAGATTGTGGATTTGGGGTTTTCATGAGCTGTAAGACATAATCATCACAATTATGACAAATCACGGCTTGAACTATCTTGCTTTGCATGTAATGAGTCTATCTCATATATTAGTTTCACCTTTTAAGTTGCATTCCGGAAATAAATTTTCTTTTGCACGATATTCAAATTTTTTTAGTTCTGCCAAAACTGTTTACAGCACTTTTCTACACTCATGATGCTGTCTTTTGCAGAGATACAGTCAGCTCCTGTTATAGCAGCTCCTGTCTTCCAGACAAAACTTTATCCAGTTGAAATTCCAAAGAAGTGCAGGGACTTCTTCCCTGCGTGTCACAGGCACGGGAGTCCATTCCAATGAATGGGCTCTCGTGCACGTGCAAAACGCGGTGAACCGGGGGTTAAAGTTCAAGCCCTGCAGCCAGCAATTCAGAAAGAACAGGCTCCATTTTAATCCATCTATGGCCATTTCTGCTCAAAAGAAATCTGTTTAATGATCAGCTTCTTTCATACAGGAATGTTGGACAATTTTCATTCAATCAGCGCATGGAGCCAAATGGCTACTGTGGTAATCAGTGTATTTTGATTGCAAAAATGTCCCTGCTGATAGAATACAATAGCACAGCAAGGAGGATTCCTCTGTTCACCTTGCTTGTGTGGATGGGGGAATCAATTCAGGGTTTTTTTAGACCAGCCCTCTGGCTGATTGAATTAATCTATGGCCAGCAGTTGATCAATTGCAGCTAAAGACCTTGGCCTTATTGTTTTATGTTGATGCTCTACAGAATGTATTTCTCTTAAGTCTATAGAATGTCTCTGTGCATATAAAGAGAATTGTGTGGCTAAAAGCTTGTTCTGCTGAACCTGCTTGTAAAAAGCACCATCTTTGCATTTTGATGGTGATCACCTGTTTTGGGCAATCAAGAGAAAAGGTACTCTTACTCCACAAGAAAAAGTCTGTGTCCTACAGCTGCTAACTATACGCAGCAAAAGGGTTTTTTTCACTCTTCCCAGGCATCAACTTGAATACCAAAGTTTAACACTTCCTTTCATTGCAAGCCCACCCAGCAGGCTTCCTCATAATCTAGGGGTGTCCCCACACTTTAGAGTGGAGGGATGTCTGTTGGTGTTCTCACCAGTCTAGATCTGAGGAATTCTGAACCTCTAGGTCCAGTATGTAATTTCATAGAGGTAGAAAATCGTTTCTCTCTGCCTCCTCCTTACATTTTGCCTTTCATTCTGTCAGCTGCAGACTAAAAGGTGCAGATATAATGGCTGACTTGCACCAACTTCAGGCAGGAAGAGTGGTTGAACCAGTTCCTTTAGAAGAACAATGAGATTTGCCACTGCTTCTCTCAAGCCAGTGAGATTGTTTGCATCAGTAGACAAACAAGATGTCTGTCTACAAAATCCCATGTTCCCTTCACATCAATGCTTTCTGCATTTTGCTGAGGGAGACTTCTGGCTATCCTTTGCACCCTCGGTGTTCACCAAACTTCTCAGCCGCCTTCTGGCTTTTTTGTAAACCCAGAGCCTTAATGTCATAGGTTACCTGGACATCCTTTTACTGGATGACTCCTCAGTCACAACCTTGTCTACCAATGTTCAACGTCAGTTTCTTCAAAGCTCTGGCTGAATTATCAACCTCCCCAAATCATCTTCCAGCCCTTACACTGGCTGAAGTATCTGTGTCTAATCCTATCCAGTTCTTTACCCAGTGTTGCTCTAGACCTCTTTAATCCAGCATTTGTGGAACAAGTGAATCCAGTCCAGATTGACAACAGATGCCAGGCTTACAGGCTGGGACAGAGTTTACAAATCCCTGAATGTCCAGGGGACCACTACTCTGCAAGGTCACCTAGTCTAGAGTAGAAATCAGATAATGCCACAACAGTGGCCTATATAAAACCAAAACCATTGAATACATTGTGAGCTGCTATGACACAATAAGGCTTCATGCACACGATAATTTTTTAAGCTCCTAGAAGCTATTATGAGCATTTAGTTTTCTGCTCCTAGAAGCCAATCGTGTAATGTGTTCATGCACACTATTTTATGCTAGAAATATTTTTCAAGCTTCAGAGTTTAGGAGCCGAAAAAAAAACTGATTAATAGAGTTTTGGGGAGCATTTTCTTGGCAAACAAATCTTTCTGAATGCTCCTAAACACTACTAAAACTTTCCTAGCAGCTTTTTTTCCAACTTTTGTTTTTTGTCTTGATGTACTGTAAAAACACTAACAAAACACTAACACTTTAAAATGCTACTACAGGCTGGCACAAAAACTCTATTATCTGCATTTTTCATCTAAAGTTTTTTGAGCTTATAGAAAAATGCTAGTGTGCATTGCGTCCTAACTGTACAAAACCAAACGCGATGAAAAGCAAATTCCACCTCCCATACTCCCTTATACAGTCAGGTCCATAAATATTGGGACATAGACACAATTCTAACATTTTTGGCTCTTTACACCACCACAATGGATTTGAAATGAAACAAACAAGATGTGCTTTAACTGCAGACTGTCAGCTTTAATTTGAGGGTATTTACATCCAAATCAGGTAAACGGTGTAGGAATTACAACAGTTTGCATATGTGCCTCCCACTTGTTAAGGGACCAAAAGTAATGAGACAGAATAATAATCATAAATCAAACTTTCACTTTTTAATACTTGGTTGCAAATCCTTTGCAGTCAATTACAGCCTGAAGTCTGGAACGCATAGACATCACCAGACGCTGGGTTTCATCCCTGGTGATGCTCTGCCAGGCCTCTACTGCAACTGTCTTCAGTTCCTGCTTGTTCTTGGGGAATTTCCCTTCAGTTTTGTCTTCAGCAAGTGAAAGACAAATCAGCAAGTGATTCAGGTCAGGTGATTGACTTGGCCATTGCATAACATTCCACTTCTTTCCCTTAAACTCTTTGGTTGCTTTTGCAGTATGCTTTGGGTCATTGTCCATCTGCACTGTGAAGCGGCATCCAATGAGTTCTGAAGCATTTGGCTGAATATGAGCAGATATTATTGCCCGAAACACTTCAGAATTCATCCTGCTGCTTTTGTCAGCAGTCACATCATCAATAAATACAAGAGAACCAGTTCCATTGGCAGCCATACATGCCCACGCCATGACACTACCACCACCATGCTTCACTGATGAGGTGGTATGCTTAGGATCATGAGCAGTTCCTTTCCTTCTCCATACTCTTCTCTTCCCATCACTCTGGTACAAGTTGATCTTGGTCTCATCTGTCCATAGGATGTTGTTCCAGAACTGTGAAGGCTTTTTTAGATGTCGTTTGGCAAACTCTAATCTGGCCTTCCTGTTTTTGAGGCTCACCAATGGTTTACATCTTGTGGTAAACCCTCTGTATTCACTCTGGTGAAGTCTTCTCTTGATTGTTGACTTTGACACACATACACCTACCTCCTGGAGAGTGTTCTTGATATGGCCAACTGTTGTGAAGGGTGTTTTCTTCACCAGGGAAAGATTTCTTCGGTCATCCATCACAGTTGTTTTCCGTGGTCTTCCGGGTCTTTTGGTGTTGCTGAGCTCACCGGTGCGTTCCTTCTTTTTAAGAATGTTCCAAACAGTTGTTTTTGCTATCTTTCTGATGGGTTTTTGTTTTTTTCAGCCTAATGATGGCTTGCTTCACTGATCTTGAGAGTTGACAGCAACAGATTCCAAATGCAAATAGCACACTTGAAATGAACTCTGGACCTTTTATCTGCTCGATTGTAATTGGGATAATGAGGGAATAACACCCACCTGGCCATGGAACAGCTGAGAAGCCAACTGTCCCATTACTTTTAGTCCCTTAACAAGTGGGAGGCACATATGCAAACTGTTGTAATTCCTACACCGGTCACCTGATTTGGATGTAAATACCCTCAAATTAAAGCTGACAGTCTGCAGTTAAAGCACATCTTGTTTGTTTCATTTCAAATCCATTGTAGTGGTGTATAGAGCCAAAAATGTTAGAATTGTGTCGATGTCCCAATATTTATGGACCTGACTGTATATGTGCCAGTGAACTTTTATACCACAATGGTGTAGCACTTTTCCTCAATGACCAAACAACTGTATCATAAATTCTGCATGTGCACAAAACTATATCACAAATAATTAAAAATAATGTCCACAAAGTCTTCAATTCCCTTGTGTGATACTCCGCTTTTTTTCAACACCACTACATACTCATAACATCATCCACAGTTTTTTTTTTTTTTTTTTTTTTATCCACCACCAGATGTTCCGTCACCTGGACTCTGACCTTACTTAATATGCAGGGTCATTGATAGGTTTCGTCTCCCTCTGTGGACTAATATTGTCTCCATGCTGGTCCTGGTGGTCCTCACTGATGGAATCCTTCTTCTGGCCTCCAATTTTAATACAATTTCTCCTTACAGTATCTATGGTGCTGTCCTTTTAAGGCACTCGCCAGTTTTCTCCACCGCTCAGCAACACACGAAAAAAATGCCAAGATAATGCTTTATCCTCTTAAAACATTTTTGTACTCTTTAAAAAAAAATTTTTTACTCATTTCCCATATGCAGGAATACACTTACATTATTGAATGACATCTTGATGCTCAGATTCCTTAACCCTTGTTTTTTTTGTGGGTTTGTCGGCAGTTCTATATGCTATGTTGCCCACACCTCAGTTTATTGCTTCTGTGTGTCCCATGGTCTATGAATGTGAGTTATGTGTTTTATATTGTACAATTAAGATTATATGAACTTTGACTGTACATTTTGTTATCCTTACTTCAGGACACAGGCCCCTCCTGTCTGTCTTGATCATTGCTTGCTAAAATAAAAATGGAGACTCATGGAGTGGGCGAGGTTCTATGAGTACGCTCTAGAAGTGGCCCTATTTAGTTTTTTTTCACCAGTGTTAATTACTTGAAGTATTTTTTTTTTTTTTAAATTATCATATTAATAGCGATCTCTATTCTGCATTCAGGAGAGACACATTTAACCATCTAACAACTTGGCTGGAAGATGCACGTCAGCATTCAAATTCAAATATGGTGATCATGTTAATTGCCAATAAAAGGTAAACATTGATTTCCTTTTTAATGCTTGTACTGCTGTTATTCAAACATTGTATGTATTGTTGCCATTTACTTGTACAGCTATATTTCTTGGTGCCCCTTACAAATCCTTCTGTAGCTTATTAGGTTAATTTGTGTTCAAAGAAGAGCTCTGGTTTACACAAAAATGTTTCTGCAGTTTCTAATGTGACCGATTATTAGATGATGATAACCTGTCAACAATTAAAGCGGACTGTACAGTTAAAGTTCCATTTAAATATATTGGGGCCCCTACACCTATCATCAATAGAAGCTTTTCAGCAAAGAAAAGCTAGGGAAAACAATACTCAATCTTATCCTGCTCGGTTTCTGTACTGCAGAGTGTGATGTCTCAATTATCCAGCAAGATCTCAGAGAATGCAAAGTATCCCAAATCTTGAGAGAAAACATTCCAGAATACTGCAGTGGCATCTTCTGATATTTGGGATGCTTGGCATTCCTTAAAAATCTTATGATGCCACTCACATTTAGGCGCAGTGGGCTGAAGCCAGGGGTAAGGCAATTACTTTTTTCTTTGTGTGTGTGTGTGTGTGTGTGTGTGTGTGTGTGTGTGTGTGTGTGTGTGTGTGTGTGTGTGTGTGTGTGTGTGTGTGTGTGTGTGTGTGTGTGTTTTTTGGGTTTTTTTTTTTACATCTCTACTTCAAGGCATGTTCCGCCATAATTTGTCTCTATAAACACAAAAATATCTGTTGATCTGCCAGAAACCCAGTGAGCTCCTGACTTCTTGTTTAGGCTGGCAACACAGTGCCTGTCCTGTTCTAAAATCCTACCTGGCATTTTATGTTTTGCATAAATGTACTGAAAGTTATTTATTTCCTGACTTGCACTTGAGCCACCTTCCTGACCAGGCCATTTTTTGTGGAAACAGAACTTCATTAATTTAATTGACAATTGTGCGGTCATGCAGCCCTGCCCATAAATGAAATTTACGTCCTTTTTTTCCACAATTAGAGCTTTTTTTTGGTGGTATTTAATCACCTCTGTGGTTTTTACTTTTTGCGTTTATTAACAAAAAATACACAACAATTTTGAAAAAAAAAAAAAAAAATTTTATTTTCTACTATAAAAACATATCCTTTTTAAAAAAAATTCATAAGTTTAGGCCAAAAGGTATTCTGCTACATATTTTTGGTACAAAAAAAAAAATCCCGGAAGACTTGTTTAGTTTGCACAAAAGTTATAGCGTCTACAAACTATGGCACATATACTGGAATTATCTTTTATTTAATTTTTTTTAATACTAGTAATGGCAGTGACCAGCAAATTATAGCGGGACTGCGATGTTGAGGTGGACATTTTTACACTAACTGACACTTTGTGGAAACCAGTGACACTAATACAGTGGTCAGTGCTAAAAATATGCACTGATCACTGTACTAATGACACTGGTTGGGAAGGAGTTAACATCTAGGGTAATTATTATTATTATAATACAGGATTTATATAGCGCCAACAGTTTCCTCAGCGCTTTACATTACAGTAACAATACAGTTGAATACAAGAGGGATAGGAGGGCCCTGCTCCTTGGAGCTTACGATCTAGGAAATCAAAGGGTTAACTGTGGGCTTAGCTATGTGCTTGGTGTACACTAGGTGGCACAGTTGCTAGGGGAAGTGAAGGGACACACGATCTTTCACTTCCCTCCCTGTCAGGACAGAGCTCTGCCTTGTCCTGCCGGACAATCGGCTGGTGCCAACAAAATCCTTTGTTCACCGGGACTTGCTGATCGGCTTTTGCTGTGAGTGTTCACAGCAGAAGCGAGCCACCTGCAGTGCGTGTGCCCCCTATGACAGAAGTGCAAAATCACGTGTGTATATATTTGTGATTTTGTACAGGAGGGCTGCCCTGTAGCAGTGAAACTGCTATAGAACAGTTTTCAGGTGGTTAAAGTGTTTGTTACCCTAAATGTTTTTTTTTCTGTGTGTTTACATACAGTGCATTCATAAAGTATTCAGACCCCCTTCATTGTTTTTCAGTTTTGTTGCAGCCTGATACTACATTTGTTTAAATAATGTTTTTTTTTTTCTCATTAATCTACACTTCTTACCCCATAATGGCAGAGTGAAAACAGAATTTTAGAAATGTCTGAATTTATTAAAAAGAAAAAATTGAATTACCACATGTACTTGACATCACATGTACTTATTACATGCAGCAGTTACGGTCTCAAGTCTTTTTGGGTATGAAGTGATAAGCTTTGCACACTTGGATTGGGGGATTTTCTGCCATTCTTTTGCAGATCCTCTCAAGCTCAGGTTGGATAGGGATCATCAGTGGACATCCATTTTCAGGTTTCTCCATAGATGTTTAAAAGGGTTCAAGTCAGGGCTCTGGCTGGGCTACTCTAGGACATTCACAGAGTTGTACCTAAGCCACTCCTCTGTTGTCTTGGCTCTGTGCTTAGGATGTCATGTTGGAAGGTGAACCTTCGGCCCAGTTAGAGGCCCTGAGTATTGTGCCACAGGTTTTCATTGAGGATATCTCTGTACTTTGCCCCATTCAGCTTTCCCTCTACCCTGACCAGTCTCCCAGTCCCTGCTGCTGAAACATGCCTCCACAGCATGATGCTGCCTCCACCATGCTTCATTGTTGGGTTGGTGTTAGGCAGGTGATGAGCAGTGCCTGGTTCCCTCCAGACATAACATTTAGAATTGAGGCCAAGACAGTCAATCTTGGCTTCATCAGACCAGAGAATCTTGTTCCTCAGTCTGAGAGTCCTTCAGGTGCTTTTTGCAAACTTAGCGGGCTTCCATGTGTTTTGCGTTGAGGAGAGAATACCGTCTAGCCACTCTGCCATAAAGCCCAGATCGGTGGAATGCTGCAGTAATGGTTTTCCTTCTTTAACTTTGTCCCATCTCCACACAGGATCTCTGGAGCTCAGTTAGTGACCATTATTGGGTTCTTGGTCACCTCTCTTAGGCCCTTGTTTTCCAACTGCTGAGTTTGGCCAGGTGACCAGCTCTTGGAAGAGTCCTAGTTGTGCCAACCTTCCATTTGAGAATTATGGAGGCCACTGTGCTTTTGTGAACCTTCAGTGCAACAGAGTTTTTTTGTTGCATTCCACAGATCTGTGTTGTGCAATAATTCTGTCTCTGAGCTGTGCACAGGCAGTTCCTTTGCCCTCATGACTTGTTCTGATACATGCATTGTCAGCTGTAAGGCCTTTTTATAGAAAGGTGTGTGTGCCTTTCCAATCATTTTAATTTACCACAGGTGGACTCCATTAAAGGTGTAGAAACAACTCCGCAAAGCAAGAGAAATGGGGGGCACCTGAGCTAAATTTCACGTTGTTGCATAGGGTCTGAAAACTTATGCCAATGTGATATTTCAGTTTTTCCTTTTTCATACATTTGCAAACATTTCTAAAATTCTGTTTTCACGTTGTCACTATGGGGTACTGAGTGTAGATTAATGAGAAAACAAAAATGAATTTATAAACAACTGTAGTATTAGGCTGCAACATAAAATTGAAAAAAATGAAGTTGGTCTGAATACTTTATGAATGCACTATATGTGTATTTTATAAATCATAGTCACTAATTTTCATGTACATGTCACTTTTCTTCCTTGTTCTCAACTGACCACACAAAGCACAGAAGATGATCTGTGTATAGTGTGGTCAGTTTCCATCCTTTGGCTGGCCATTCAGAGGTATGGGACACTGTACAAATGCACAGCATGCCTGTATTGGGTAGTTCTTTAAGCCATCACGCCTCTGACCAATCAGTCTGCCTCTTTTACACATTCCTTCCCAATCACAGCCTGCCACTTGATCAAGCCCCCTGCTCAAACACCACCTGAATCTTGCCTCAGGTGGAACAGACTATGTAATACAGGCACACACTGTATGTCTGTTTGGTGTCCTGTAACCCACCCAACCGCCACCACTATCAGGAAGAAGAGATGCATGGTCACATGATAGAACCTTGTAAGAAAGATCATTTCTTAAACTAAGCAATAGCAGTTATGGTACAACCATAGTGATAACTATATTAGAAAGTGTCTATAGCATTGCACGTTCAAAACTACTTTAAAGCTGGCATAGAATCAGGGTTGTTCTTTAGTGGGACAAGGCAGAGCAAATGTCGAGTGCAGTTCTCTTATTCTAGGATGAGTATATCCCCATCCGAAATACCTTCTGTGGTCAGTTCTAGGTCTAAATTTCATTGAAACTTAATGGAGGTTCTGGATTGGAATGAAGATTTCCACTTTTCTTCCTTACAACAGTAAACATTCTTTTTGTTTAACCGCTTGAGTACCAGCCTGTAAAACCCCTTCATTATCAGGCCATTATTCTGTGCTGTAAAAGTTTGACAATGACTCGGCTATGCAACACCCTACACAAATGTATTTTATAACCTTTTTTTGAGACGCATAGAAATTTCTTTTTGGTGGTATTTACTAGCCACTTCTTTTTATACCATAAAAAGGAAAAACGCATTTTTTTTTAAAAAAAAAAAACCTGTTCCCCTTAGTTTCTATTATAAAACATGTCAAAAGATTGCCAAGATAGTACATGATTCATTTTTGGAAAGTTGTCACCCCATGTTGATCTCAGTTTTTGCAAATTGAGAAAATGTAAAAATCCAAAAAAGCAGACCACATTGTGCTTGAGTGAAAATAGAGATCCACACTTTGGAAAATAGTAGAAATATGGCATGCAATCCACAACTGTATTGTAGCTCTCAAACAGGCTCAGCCTGGAAGATGCTGTGAAACATCATAAAACAGAAACCAGCAGAGTGCACTAATAGTAACTTAAACTAAAAACCAAAAGACAAATGCACTCAGAGGAAAAGGATGTGACAGTCCCTTATCTGTGGTCAAGAAGACCCCTTAGCAATTGCCAGTGGCTGAGGTGAAGCTATAATATGTCCTGGGATCTTGGGAACGGCCACACTAGACCTACTCACACAGCGGTTTACTGCGCTGCATCCAAAAAAACATAATTGATAAATTACAT